GGATACTTGCTCACATGCCCAGTAGGCACGGATGGGTCCAGTTGACAACGGTTCCACCTGACTAGAAACCGTCTACACTTAGATGCCTCAATATAGCTGAGTACAAGTAAATGAAGCGTTGGACCAGGATGCATCCAAACATGAGCCACAGTTCCCAGAGGGGCTGCTATCTGCTTTTCATTCAGCAATCTTTGCACCAATTCTTGCCTGGACTACTTCCGACCCCAGACATCACTGGCATTCACAATTCTCAATGCGTCCTCCCCATCTCGAGTACAATACTTCATCTCTGCACATTGGCAGATCCAGAAATTCGGTAAGGGGCGCTCCTATTGACGTGGGCTGGGTTTGTCAATTGATTTGTCAATATTTCTGCGGGCTGAAGTGGCTCCCCCTAAATCCGCGCGTGCCCGTAGTACTCAATCCAGATATTGGTTATTAGTAAGCACAGCCAAAAGCCAGACAAGACCTGCGCTGTTCCTAAATAATATGAAACGATCTCCAAATAGAGGATCCAACCAATTCCACACAGTGTCATTCCAATCCAAGCCAACAATATACCCACCACTCTGACGAACACATTACTAGAACATTGTCTAAAATCACTTAGCAACGTGTCATTAACAGTTCTGTAATGTTTAACCGGAACTCAATATACTAAATTTTCAATTTCGTCCACAGAATTCCAGCTAGCACGTTTTTCCAAACATTGCTGAATCGCAATGCCAAGCCTATACCAGCATGCATAGCGACACTCTGACCAATAACTGTTGCCAGCGCCCTCAACTTGTACGGACATTCGTATATGAAACATGCATCAATATACTCACACAATGAAAATGTTGTCAGCGAATATATAAATCTTATCTTTCTGTATATCCAATTGATAACCCAACAAAGCTACTGTTAAGGGGGGGGGGTCGTCATCTGCGCATGTATCAAATGGCCATAGCGTGTCATTGGTTACAAACAAGCGTCTACCCATGAGCCTTTGCGTTTTAGCGTTTGTTGTTATCGTCGCTTGGGACTAAATTCCCGAGCGTGCGCAGATGACGCCTTCCCCCACTTTAAACTAGACGTTATATGTTGCATACAAAGAGACGTCTACAATAAACACGACCGATTACTGTACTCCCAATACCAGTCTTCACGGGGTCTAAACTATCATGGAGAAACATTGGAAGCGCCACCACACGACTTATAGATCACTTTCCCCGAAACTAGGATGCAAAAATATTCCTGCTTTGTCAGGCTAAAAAGAAACATGTCAGTTTGCTGACAGTCGATAGAAAGGAATGTTATTTTTGTGACGTCGATTGGTACACTCAGAAGTACAATATCACGCGTACACCCCAAACCAGCATGCGCAAAGATTCAGAACCTTTGAAATACTAAAGACCCGCGCAAAGAAGATACAAATATTTGTTTTCCTCATCAAAATTTCAAAGGTAAGAACGTAAATGAATAATCCTTACTGGCAATCTCCTTCCACGAAACAGAATTCATACTTGAATAAATGCGAGTCGGCGCGTACCGTCTCGATGACATGTCACTGTTTAAGCGGGGTGTCGTCATCTGCGCATGCGGCAGACTGCCATAGTGTGTCGTTATTTACAAACAAACGTCTACCCATGAGTCTTTGCATTTTAACATGCGTTGTGATCATCGCATGGGACTCAATTCCCGCGTGTGCGCAGGTGACGACCCCTCCACTAATAACATGTAGCGCGACTGAAAAATTCCGTATAGATGAACTCTTCCATGGTAACTAAATATATTCAGTGTAGAGTGATTTCTCAAAGCAGACTACTAAGTATTTACGTGTACCAGTCACGTGATTAATACAGAGCCAACGATTGGCTGAAGACAATATTTTCCCACAATGCCGGAGATCCGAAGAAAAATTTAGTTTAGACATAATTGCGTGCAGATCGTGTAGACATTTTCAGAGAAGTGGATCTAGGTGCTATGAAAGCATATTTTTGGAACGATTCTTTCATTTCGTCATAAAAAGACACATTAATACAATAGGGTAGACGTGTCTGTGAAGATATACAGACTGTAAAAAGTGGGTACGTCACGGTGTTCGAACAG